TGAAAATTTCTGACAATCGAAGAATTAATTTTTCATAACAGAAAACCTTTCTTTTCAAACAAGAAACGTTGATTTTGTTAACGATTAGGCGCAAAATTATTCGAACAAATATAAATGATTGACCAAAAATTTAATTTCTTGGAAAGTGAAGGCCTGCATGGACTCTAACTCCAAAGCTTTAGCGTCCTAAACAAGTTACATCGATATCAAATGCGCAGAACCGGTTCTTTAACTTGATTATTTATAAATCTAACTATTAACTGATTCACTGTTTCTGTTAGAGAAGTTGTTAATCTGAAAAAGTCGACAATCCGATTTGATAACGCTGGTTAATTGAAAATGTAATCAGCTCAATCTATATATTTTTAGTAACATACTTATGCTCAATAAAATTTAAAAACGTTGAACATCAACAATTGAGCGATACAATAGAAAACCGATACCTTTGAAAATTAAAATTCCTTAACGCTTTAAATCGGGCTAGAAAAAAGAACTGATTCGTAATTAAATATTAAGCTCGCTTGTATATCAAATAAAACCGAAATAAATCTGACTGTTCATTCAATTATCGAGTTTCTTAATACAGTGCTGATTTAAATTATCCGGACAAAACGAACAAAACTTGAATTTTCAAACGCGTTTTTCTCAAATTGGGTTAAGATTAGACAAAAAGTTTACAAAGTTCTCAACAAAAAATTTACCCCAAAAATGGGTCATTTTGGCTTTTTTCAATAAATCAAGAATTACGCTGAAACTACTTTGTTAATTGATAAGAAAATTATATCCCAGGAAGCCTCTTACGCAGCTCAACAAAGTCTAAGAAGGGTTAAATCTCCAAAAACCAGTATAAGAGAAAAAGTTTTCACTTGATAGTCAATAAATGTGATTTTTACTATATAAAACCTAGAATTATTGCTTAAAAATATATTTTAAACATTTTTGCGCAAATTTAGAAAATTTAACCCTTCTTAAACTTTGTTGAACTGCGTAAGAGGCTTCCTGTGATATAATTTTCTTATCAATTAACAAAGTAGTTTCAGCGTAATTCTTGATTTATTGAAAAAAGCCAAAATGACTCATTTTTGTGGTAAATTTTTTGTTGAGAATTTCGGAGAAAAATGGCATCATATTAATTCTGGTGAAATTCTAAGCAACTTTTGTTCTCTTCACTTTTTGTCTAATCTTAACCCAATTTGAGAAAAACGCGTTTGAAAATTCAAGTTTTGTTCGTTTTGTCCGGATAATTTAAATCAGCACTGTAACATGTACATCACACTACAGCTCTGTTTTTTTGTTCTGCAGGAAAAGCGAATTTTAAAATCCACTTTTAAAACCAAAAGTCAACTACATTTTACAGTTATGTCAATTTTCTTAGTGCAGAGTGTTGTGTACTCAATTTGCTTAATTATATGAGTTTAAGAAACCAACCGCCAAAAATGAGGCCTCTTTTCAAGAAAATATTGAAAACCACACGCTCTTAGCAAAAACAAACGTCTATCGATTACGCTCAAGCAAAAATATCTTATTGGAGAAGGGTCTAAGAACTTAAAAGACCAAAAAACATTTTGTGCGGCCATATAAAATGGGGAGGAACTTTGTCTTCGGATGCGCTTTAGTTTTTTTTTCACGCAAAATCAAGTCGCAACCGTTCGAGTGGTATATCATTATTAAGCACTTCCAATCGTTATTCAAAAGACAATCAAATCTTTTCAAAACGATATCCTAGTGTTGCGAAAAACCGATTTTGAATTTTCGTCTGATTTCAAGCAAGTAAAGCGGTCGAGTAACGTTCGTCAAACAAAATTGGTCATTTAGGCTAAAAAAAACTTTATTAAAAGGAAACCAATTTTGAGAGCTTCATTTAAAGTTTCCTAGGCAAAAAAAGTTTTCTTTTTCTTTATTTGTTATTCGTTTATTGAAAACAACTGTTGTCAATGTTGCCATATTGATTTCTACTCGTTTGTATAGCTTTCTCATCTCACAGTGCACAAAAAACGACCCATATTTGAAGAGAAACTTTTTGTAAATTTTATTAAGAATGTGGTCGGAACATTCTGTGCTAATTGCACAGCAACCAGCTATCCTTGTTTTGTTATAAGCTTTAAACATGATAAATAACTCAACTAGATCTTCACGCTCTTTGAATTCCGAGTAACTTAAAATGATTTATACCTTTCTGCATTTCACTTGCATGAAAAAGTGAGTTCTCCGGGCCTAGGCTTAAGAACTTTTTTAAGCAAGTATCTAAGAAACTGACCTTGCTTTATGACGAAACCTCAAGACTACTGGTCACTTGGTCTGAAAATTGAGTACGTTCACTGGTATTCTAGTCTCTGGAGTTCAAGTCTCGACCGGAACTTTTTTCATATGCATGGAATTTTATCTGGTAAGACTTGAATTAACGGTTGTATATCGCTAAATTCTTGTGGGCTTAATTTCTAACGCATGGACTTTTCTTCTGATGTGAATAAATTTTCTGTAAGTGAAAGTCGTTCAGTAATTTGTGAATTTATTAATTCTGCTTTGATATAAATTTCCTTTTTTTGTTTTAATGCTTTTGTCTGATGTTGCATTGGCCTGGTCATCTTATATTACGGTTTGTGAAGGGCGAAAAGAGCCTGTTTGTTACAGAAAGGGTGTGGTTTCAAAATTTTATAGCGCGAAACTTTTATACAAGGCAAGGCTGAGCTTCGCACCACTTACGATACAGAAATGAATGACTATGATAAAACCAAATTAAAAAATGAAAAAAAACGTCGTTTTTGTCGTAAATTTATAAAAATTGCAAAACAGCCCAAAAAATCCGGAACAAAATTACCAATCACCTGCACCAATTGAAACTTTACATAGAGCTTTCGGAATGCTCGAACGAATTTGAACTTTCAAAAGGTCTTTTTGCCGACAAAAATAAGCAGATAGACAATAATCTAGAATACCCGAAACTTTTCAGTTTGCAAAAAAGACAAGTCCCTTCGGAATCGAATTCCAGCGCTACGTGTATTAGCAACTTGGAAGAAGACTGGAACTTTTTTGAAAGTCAGCCTACGAGAACTCAGCCGAGAAAAACAAACACACGGACGATAGTCCGAAAAAACACAAACATGGCCAACAGACAGCTGGAAATGAGTCAATGAACGCATGTAAACAAAAAATAATTTAACATTTTTTTTTAAATCTCAACTTTCGAATGTTACAGAAAAAATAAGTGCCCATACAGATCTTTTAAAATCTATAACAATTTGTTTGACACTTAGTTGAATTAGAACCCAATTTGACAAAAAAGGGGATCAATACATGAACTTTTTATTCCGCTGGGAAATCTGAAACTTAACTACCACTCTCGAAACTAACGTCGATCAAGTTTTTCGTGATCTTATAAATTTGCTGATAGTGGACTTTAAAAAAGGAAAAGAACTTAACTTTAAAAGAAAATCAAACGTCAAACCGCGAAAAAAAAAACATTTAAAGACTTCCTGAAAAAACGACAAAAAATCATCAGCACCTATATAAGAGTCTGAACTACGTTCATCGACTCTTAAAAAGTCTGATTTGCAAAAAAAATCTCGCCCGGGTTCCAAGTGCAAGCTTTTGCCCTTTCAAGCAAATTATGTTACCTCTATACCAGATGGTTCGCATGGTTGATTGAATTTGAATTTATAATAAGGCAATTAAAACACGTGAAAGATTTTCAAGAGCAAAATCTATGAAAAAAATTTTAACAGTATGAAAAGCCTATTACCCAAGTGCGACACCATTGTCAAACGCAAAAGTAATCTTTGTTTTGGCTTACGCACGTCTTTCATTTTTTTCGTGTTACTTGAAATCATTCGATAGCTTGAAGAGATATGTTGTGTAAAACGTGGCCTCCAAGTAAGAATTTCGATCGCACTCAATTGTGGGAACTAAATTGCACTAAAGGTGAAGAAAAATTTCAATTTTGCTTCTGGATTAAACACTGACCTATTTTTTGAAAACTTTCCAATTTCAAAGAAAAAATTGATGCCCTTAAAGCTCTTTGAATTTCTGGATCAAATTATGATTGGCAAATTTTTAAATTAAATTAACTCAACTTGAAAACTGGATCAATAAGATTTATTTTAATTTCGCTGGGACATCAGAAAATTAAATTCCACGTTCGAAACTAGAAGTCGATGAAGTGTTCTGTGACCTTTACAGTTTTTCGGTTTGACGGTGGCGTTTGCCCTCCTTTTCAACAAAGGGATTGAACTGAACTTGAAAAGAAAAAGAAAAAAACCAAACTGCGAAAAATGACTTACGATTTTTAAGTACCTGCGACCATTCTTCGTGAAAACATGCGGATTTAATTTAAATGTGGACTATTTAACGAGCGCGAAATTGCGAACTTGGGATAATTAATGAGCGCAAAAATCCTAATTTTCTACAAAATGCCGAAGCTTCGCTTCGCAAACACAATCGAGAACACGACAAAAAGCAGTTCTGAAGTGCAATAAGAAAAAGTAGAGATAAGCCTCGGCTAGGACTCGGATTCGATCTGCGACTAAAACTATGAGCCTCACGCACTAACCACTCAGCCACGCACGCTTAATACATCACAAACACTAGCCACAAATAGAGCAGAGAACAGATGCTATGAAATCCAATGCTAGATCGTGATTATAGCAAAAGTGCCAGCAAATCAGTGAAAACTTTCCACTTTCAATGAATACTTTACTTGCGAATTAGGTTAGAAAAAACAGAAAGTTCTAACTAAAACACTTCGCTGATCGCGAGTGTAATTACCCGTAAAGTACGCCGCAAAATATACCGGCTTAGAAATCCTTCCAAGTAGATCTGATGCATGCTGATTCATTTAAATGACACAGGCGAATTATATCACTTTTCGCTTGAGATTGCTTGTGGAGGGGACATTTTCGAAAAAATAATACATCTTGCCTGTAAACAGGCGGTGTTCAAATTCAGGACTTGGCCCTGATACGAGCAGTCTTGTTCCAGTTAACTGCCAACTTAGGAAACAAAAATTGAAATTAAAATTAGTCAATTTTACTCTAAATAGCCGAATATAATCTTGATATAATTTGGCTTCTATACGACAAATTATGGTTCAGAATCTACTTTGAATTATCTATATAACCCTAACTAGTATCACAATTACAATTAACTGAAAAAATTTAACGATAGCACAGAAAAGTTAACGCTTACTAGTATATTATAAATTCACTTTGTCGAGGTAAGTTGAGAGCAATATATCACACGGTAACGACTAATGATCAGAAGGAACCAGAAGAGTTAAAGAGAGAAGCGCTACTTGGTATCATCTAATTCGCCCTCTGAAATAATTGTGGTAGTTGTTGACTTTCTCTCACGTCGCCTTGAGCACCGGAGACAGTCGCGACGCCTGTTGTCATAGCACCGCTCGTGGTAAGTACACTCACATTTAGGGCACACAAAAACGTCATCGTCAAATGGGAAAATTATCTTCCCCGAATTACAGTACTCACAAATGAAGCCTCGGTTCTTACAGATTTCACAATCACGACGAATGTGGTTTGAAAACAAATCGTATATTTTCTGCAAAGTCGTTAGAAGAGTCTTGTTCTCAAGGTCAACAAGGTCACGTAAAGAGTACATGACGGAATTTTCTACAAAATGTTGACGAGACTGAAGTAGGAGTAAGAGTCGTTTTGAGGATGCGTTGCGACAACCAATGAAATAACTTTTCATCTTGAGGATATCTTTGCGCATGTTATTCACGGTTCCTAACTCTTCGATGTGGTTGTAGAGAGATTTGTTCAGGTCGGATATGTTGATGATGGCTCTTTTATACACCATCTGTAGGTAAGCGAACCAGTACCGACTCACCTATTGCAAGACACTAAGTCAACATTTTTTTATTAACTGATGATCCTGATACCACCACAAAAAAACATGTGATGGAAACAGCCTTTACAATATACCATCAAACCACCATATAATTTTTGCAACAAAAAAAATTATCAACGAAAAAGTTTCAAGTTAACTACAGCAATCAAAACTAACTTCGCGTGCTCTCAAATGTTGAGAGATTCAATTGGCATACTTTGTAAGCGAATCATTGACATGTTTTCGACGTGTCAATGAAAACGAGATGATATTTCTAATGATTCAGATTATATATTGCCGACTCATTATTACCCTGTATGGCCTGAAGTCCCAGTTGAAAAGAACTCGGGCCGGGATGACCATGAGGTCGTTCCAGTGGCACTGGTTACAGTAATACATTCCAGAATAGTCGCATAACAGTGCCTCCCCTCCCCCTGATCCGTTGCTTTTGTTTGAGGCTAGACTGCTAGTACTGCCACTCACATTGCAAGTGACAGAAGTTCCACCAATGAGGTTCTTGCACTCGGCGCACCTGTTAAATATTATAATTTCATCAATTTCAACCAAGCCAAAGATTAAACACTCAAAAAATGAAAAACGGAATAAAATTTAAAATTTTCGCCTTTTTGCTCTTTGGAACAACATTGCTGCGATACTTAAAAGTTACGCATTAACTTTTTTGTCAGATCTGAAAAAATTTTATGAAGATGAAGCCAAACCGAAACCTGTAACTAGTCATAAAATCCAAAATGAAACTCTTTGGTAGAGTTCATACATTCAGAATGACTGCACTCGGCGGTTTCTACATTGAGTAGTTAACCTGAAATTCTGCTTGGCGAGTCCTGGACTGTTGCAGATGTTCCAGAAGTACTCTTTCGACTCCTCCAGACGCACCGAGGGACATACTCTTCCCACTGCTTCCAGACACCTGTCATGGGCTTTGTAGCCACAGCAAAGACACTCGAACCAGCTATGCATCAGACCTAATATAATATATGGTTACGTAGTAGTATTTAGACAACCGCGTATTCAGACTCGTCAGTAAGTAGACAAATTTTGCATTAACCAATCAGAATCGAGACAAGGAAGAAATGAATAATTAATAATCTTAGACAAAATCTTAGTAGACGCAATTGTTAAAGTTCTTATAGATTTGCAAGAAAAATTATTTTTTGAAGGAACACACGACATTTCCATTCGCAAGCGTAAGGACATGATCAAAAAAGTCAAATACAAATGAAAATAGACTTTGATATTCAATATTTTTAATGAAAATTGCACAAAAAAGCAACCGCCTTAGCCGCCAAACTGCTTTGACGATTTTATCACTAGTTTCCGCTTATCCGTGGAGTTGAAAAAATTTCAGCACATATAACAAAACACCTTTGAACGAACAAAAGTTTGAAGCAGAGCTTCGCATCACTTGTGCTACAACAAGAACAAAGAATCCAATCGGGCGGAGCAAACTGGGACAGAAGCCACAGAGTCGAATAACTGAAAAAGTTCCAAAAAACAAACGACTATTTTCTTATGTCTCAAATGAAACTCAGTTTCATGAAAACAGTCGCAAACCACGACTGCCAGCAAAAAATTGGCAGAAGTCAAAAGTAACGAGCCGTAACTATGCAGAAACCATCTTGGTAAGCCGACTGTTGAGCTATGATGACTTCAAAATTCCAAGTATTATGTCACCAACGAAGCAAACAAAAGAATTAGTATCTATTGTGGCTCTTCAAACGAAGTGATATGAAGCATCTCAACTGAAGCAAAATCTGCTGCGGAATTTGAACCGACAAAATTAGCCGTTACAAAACAGTCCAAAAAAGGTGTAGTCCAATTAAGGGATTTTCAAAGTGCGCCGCAAGAAATACAGGTCCAGCTCGGACTCGAACGCAATACTTTCGCTATCAATAATTTGAAAAAATCCAAATTCCGATTTGCTAATGCTAGCCAACTTTAAATCATAAAATTTAAACTAGCCAAATGCATTGAATTAAAAACAAGTTACATCAATATTTAATCGACATTTCAAAAAAAATGGTGTTACTACTTTCAATCGATTTACAATGTGCTCAAAGTTAGATTGTAAACCTAGCAAAACAACATGTAAACAGCTAAAAAAAATCAGCAGACGCCAAGCAATTGAAAAATTGATATCGAAATCAGTTTTCTCCATTATTTACAACAATGTTTGAAGACTAATCGAACAAAAAAAACTATATTATACTTATGCTGCTCAAAAAAGAATAGCAAAAAAACACTACAAAACTTTTAAAAAAAATATCGTGTATCAGAAAAAATAGCGTGAAACGCAAAAAATTCTCATAACTATAAGGCAAGTTAACAACTTATTCTACTAAAGTATTTTCTGATCGGTTAACAGTTGAGGCTTCCTAACTCCCAGTCTATTGCTTTTAAGGGCTATCGTTCCAAAATTATTGTCTAGAGAGGAGCTGAATCAATCTAAGAAATCATTTGACGAAAAACAAACAAAAAATCATACCGAGAAAACTTATGATTTCAATTACCTTCACATGATACAGCATGCCATGCATTGATAAACAGAGGCGAACCTGCGCTTCGCAAACAATTGCGAGAACACGACCAAAAAGCAGCTCTACCAAGTGACATAAGAAAAAGTAGAAATAAGCCGAATTAGCAAAAACTAGGCTACGTGTCTGATTCGAATCTGCGACCTAGCAAATATGAGTCTCACGCAATAACCACTCAGCCATGGATGCTTAAAATTGCCAAAAACTAGCAACCAATAACGCAGCTGCATATGCTAATGAATTGCCAATTCGATGCAGCAAAAATAGCACCAAATACAAAAAGACACAATTTTGCATGTAATAAATGGCAAAGCATAAAACCTCATTATGCATAAATTGCATTTCAAAACATTGAGTTAGCGAGATATATTGAGTTAGCAAATTTCTGAAATCGAGTTGTTATTGCTGTTGTTGTTTGAAACAAATAGCTTTTTTTTCAGTTCAGTTGATGAAATAAAAATGCATCAACTGTATTAATTTATTACTATTCAATTGTCAAAGCATATGCTATCAAAAAGCTGTAAACGCGCCCCGCCATTATTGGGGTGACGCATCAAAAAAGTGATAAATCAATATTTGCGACTTAGCTTGGAAAAAAGAATGTTCGTAATAATACACTAGCTTCGCAAGTGTAAACAACGTACCGGGTAAACTTTCGAACACAGGTACCATTTTCAAACTTATCTAAGTTTCAAAACAAAACTAATTTTGCACAGCGGCCAGCTGAATTTTTCAAACACACGCGTGCCCAATACAGGCGGTACAGGTTGGTGGTACATTAGTAAAATTGCCATTTCTAATTTTGGCTACTATGTGAACAAAATATTTTCGGGGAAATGTGTAGTACCCATTGTAATACCCGTGCTTATCAAGGGAAATCATGATCGGATGAAAATAACAGACAGAATCAAAATCAAACATTAGTTTCATTCTTAGGATGCGAAGTTAGGAGTAGATGATATTTACTGTTCATGAAATCCATCAGACTTTTGCCTAAGAATAATATTACATTAACCTTGGCCCTAATCTAGGAAAACAGTGTTAATACCGGAGAAATTAATTAGTTATCCCTTACCAATAAGCAGCTGTCTACAGTATTCACACACTGCCCTTGAGGTCGCGCGGGTGGCACTCTGTACAAATTTGTGTCCATTTAGCTTCCTAACGTGTTCTTCGTGCTTAGAATCTGTCTCCTCTAGCAGCAGCAAGCGCAGCTTTACCAACTGGTGGCCGAACTTATCTGGAACATATCCGAATAAATTGATACCAAATAACTTGTTTTTTCAAAAAAACGCAACTTTCGAATTTCAAATAAAAAAATAGATGCGCTTAAAGCTCTTTTGATTTGCACTTTTTTGACACAAATGCGAAGCTCCGCTTCGCAAAAACTAGCCAGAACACGAAAAAAGCAGCTCTGTAAAGTGCATTATGAAAACTTAGAAACAAGCCTCAAATTAGTAAAAAAATACGGCTACGTCTGAGATTAGGAGTCTTGCGTAAAAATGCAGTTTAATTAAATTGGGAGTCATCAAAATTCAGTTAGTTCTCACAAATAAAAATTTGGTCTCGAAAAAAGCAGACCGATTTTTATCGACAATGAGACAACTCTCAGAACTATTTTCAAAATCTGAATCACGACCTAAACGGGCTTTAATTTTGTACCAAACTTGACTCCCTACGAGCTTTTAGGTACTCAAAATGACTAGGAAAACAACATGATCGGAAGAAAAATGACTGGAACAAAAATGTTAGAAAATCTTGTCTTATTATTGGAGATGGACTATAATAAAACGTGAGATGTCAAAGATAAAAATTGCCCAGACCTTTCAGCTTCTCGTCATGTTGATTTTGTTTGAGCATCTTTTTGCACTGCCCTATGGCCTGCAACAGCTGCTCCTTCCTGTCCGTGCTCACACTTCCCCCACTTGTAGAAGAGTTCAGACTCTTGGGGGGCTCGGCAAAGAAGCCGTCTGTGAATCCAATATCCAGGGACCTGCGTCTGTTCTTCAGCTCTAGGCTCAGGTCATAAGAGGAGTAGGAGTTGGATAAGTGGAACTTTTCCGGAGTGTGTTGAGGCATTCCTGAAATGTCCAGGTATCCACTCTGTTTCTCTGGGCTATTAGCTGGTGGTGCCATCATTCAGTAGACTTTAGCATATAATGCACATGTATTTGCTTCAATTTGTCAAGATTGTTTGTTATACTTTTGCCAACATATCACTGCATCGGATCCTTATCGATATTCAGATAGCAAAAGATAACCAATGAATATCAAGATTTAGATCACTCTAACAATAGACTGCAAATAGAGCCATCCGGTCAAAGTACTTCAACTAACCAATAAGAAATAAGGATTATATCGGATGAAGACCGACAAATATACTATCACATCTAAAAAAAACAGCTTTCGATTTCAGACTGGTATGAAATTTAATCTACGCTGGTTAGAATTTGTACTTACCGACATAACTGGTAGAAGTTCTGATAGGATTTGAAGACGATATGATGCCTGAGTGATTTCTGTCTGCCTCGCTTCCGCTGTCGTAGAAATCATGTACGTATGTGATCTCGTTTAGAAACGGGTTGTGATGACCAGAGACATTCTCTAAGGGCTCATGACCATCCTCATCTCCTTCCTCGTCACTTCCGAGTTCGAAGTTATTACCAAACACAGTACTGCGTGATGACGACTCAGTCAAGAGTCGTTTCTTCCCAGATCCTCCGATTTCAGTCTTTTTGGAACTTACTGGTGTTTTCTCGCTAGTTGATCTATCATCTAGATCTGAAGTGGGAGATTTGCTGTAGTTCATGAACGAGTTAGCATTGCTTTCACTGGTCGATGTTCCTTCATCTTGTGAATTCCAATCCCGAGACGTCCCTGATGTGATGGCTGAGGCAAATTCTGATATACTGGTTGAAAGGCGGCGCATCATACCTGGAGAAATCAGAAAGTAACAAGTAACAACTACTATTGTTTCAACACAAAGTAAAAAAGATAGCCAACTGAAAGTTGGAAAAGAGTGATGAAAACAATGAAACATAAAAAATCAACTTTCGAATTTTAAAGAAAAAATGTAAAAATATATGGCCTTGAAGCTTTTTGAAATTGACGAACAAACCGCAAAAAAAATTCGAATTCAGCGTGGAATTTTAAGATTTTTTCTAGAAATAAAAATCACCCAGACCTACACTCGCTACGTTCATTACTCTTCACTACTACCGGAAAGTAAAAAAAAAGTACTATCGGTTCAACACTACATTGCAAAGTTCTGCTTCAATTCAATTCATCAACCTTCACCCCGATTTTCCGCTTTCAATTCTGTATTGCATCAAAATATCCGACGTTAACATGTTGCAACTATTTGACAATCCTCCAAAACCTCCCCTCTTTTACTTTCTATGCAATCTCCAAATCTAAATGAAACTGGATTTCGACAATTTTATCTGTTTTATGCTGGCGATATTGAAACTGCCGAAAAATGATTTCTTTCTATTTAACTTAAGTATTGGATGAAACCTGCTCGACTTTTTCTGATTGGGTCTTAAAAGAAGCAGCTTATCATTAAACCCGCATTGTTAACTTCTGGGCTCCGAATGACTCAACGCGAAGTATATCAAATAATACAACAAAAGTAAAACTTTGTTTACCTGGATTTTCATCTGCTGTTTGGCTCGAAGTCTGGGAAGTGACCGACATTTCCTCCGGTACAAAGTCACTCACATTATCGTAGTCTGGAACTCCCCCGTTAAACTCGGATGAGTAGAAGTTGGACATAATGGCCCCGTTAGTCTTGAACGGCTTGCCATTCTTCGCCGGATAGTTGTTCACTAACCCCTTAACCGGCCCTGTCAGTCTAATAAGAGCGTCTTGAGTTTCAAAAATCAGATCTGCTGTTCTTCGACCATTCGCTCCTGGTGATGGCATTTTTCTACTGCTTCGTGTCGAACTTTTTGAGCTTGTATTGGTTTCGTGGTCATAGTTTGAGGATGAACTGGTAGATCCACATCTGTTTACAAATCCAGGCGCCTCAAATTGCATCATAGTTACATACAATCCGTCGCCAGAGGATAAACCACGCTTCGATTCGTATCAACGAGGATGGTTGCAGTGAATGGAAAGAAAGTAGTTCACATACATTACATAATTGGTATCTGCAATACATTGATTTTAAGCAGCGTATCAAAACTGATTTAATACTAAAACTACCAACCGAAACATAACAAATTAAATAGCGTTCACTGTCAATTTGGAGCCTATTTGAGGAAAAAATGGTTCAGTAATACCACGGAAAAACTAACACAAAATTCATGTTTGAAAACAATATAATGTACATGTATTGCATATATTAGAACTTAAACTTCAGTCGTGTAAATTCCAAAATGTGCAAAAAAGAAGCCAAATTGTCCCATGGACAGATGTTCTCGGTACTTCAGTTTACTCGTGAACACAAGAGCAAGTTTGTAATTTTGCAAAGCTGCAAATATTTCATAATAGGCAGCTTTCCGTCACTTCTTTTTCTAGGCCGGAACAAGTGCTCAGACTTTCCGTCTAAATGAGATAGACGCTCGAAAGTGAAGCAAGTTCAGTCGACCCACGTGACTTCCACTGCATCTGTCCTGTATCTCTGAGTACACCATGTTTTATGAAGTGGAGTTGAGATACCCTTGCTAAACATGGCCGCACCCGCCTGTGCAATCATGGCTCCGTTGTCGATACTAAAAATCATTCGTCATAGCAACTGTTTCCACCCTCCTGAAGAAAATGTAAGAAATTTCTGGACAGTAGGAGCGAAACTCTCATGAAACTTATTTTACTACACAATACATCGCTAAGTGGATCCAAGTTTTTCTTATATCAAACCCCCTGATTAAATTTTGGACACTTATTTGGACTAAATATTTAAATTAAATTAAATTTTTCCTTTTAAATCTTTGCTATCTCTTAAAAAAAATTGGCTATTTGTTTTGAAAAAAACTAATTGTTCATTTAGTTAGATATGATATCAAATGACAAATTAAAATGCTGTTTTTGGAAGTTCATCACTGGCAAACGCATGCTTAAACGTTGAAATTAAGTTATTTTATTGGGGACACGCCTAATTTACCACAAGTATCTTTACCGTAACACAGTAATTACAGTTAGAGAAGCTGCTTTCGATCTTACCAGTATCTTTCGTCAATGGCATATAAGTGTGCACCTCTCTCTTTGGCCATGTCTCCCATCATTGTCTGCAGTCTGAGGTTACAGCCAACTCCTCCTACGATCAGAACATCTCCAGCTCCGCAATGGGCCATCGCACGCTCTAAGCACAACTCAGCAATCTAACAAACTAACAAGTTACCCTTTAAACTGGTAGGGCGACAATTCGTTACAAGCGACAATTCGTAACAAGGCATTGGAAAGCAGAATACGCTTGCTCTGCTTCGCTCCGCTGCGCTTACATCCGGCACGAGAGGAATACTGCGTGTGAATCAGTGTTCCCCGCTTAATCTACTGTTACAAATTGTCGCCTCACGTTTTAACTAAAGATACGAAAAGCCTTCGTGCGAACAAAACTATTCTTACCACCTCAAAGCCGGTTTCAGGTGGAGGATGTACACTTGGTTCTGTTTCGCAATTTTAATCAACTAGTTAACCAGCCAGAGGCCTAACCTAGAGGATAATTAATTAAGATTAACTAAGCTATGGCTATTCTACAAGAGCTCACCTTACAAAAAACAGCCCACGTGCAATTTGAACCCTCAATCATATGATTGCTGGGCACCATCGCTACCCATTCGCCAAAAATTTTGTGGCGTTATGACGCGAAGGTAGTGATGGTTTCCAGCAACATGATTGCGGGTTCAAATCGCACGCTCGCTGCAAATAATAAGGTGAGCTCTCGTAAGATAACCATAAATTTGACCAGATTTGCAACAAAAAAAACATAGCCAACTGACAGTTGGAAAAGAGTAATGAACGCAATGAAACTGAAACAAAACCTGACTTTTGAATTTCGAAAAAAAAATAGATGGAATTAAAGCTCTTTGAATTTGTAGAACAATTTATGATAGACGCTTATTTGTTAAAACTAACCCATTTGAAAAAATTGCATCAATAGGCGAAACTTTTATTTCACTGGGATATCTGATAATTAATTTCCTTTTTCGAAATTAGAAGTCGATCACATTATTCGTGACCTTTAGATTCATGCTATTCGATAGTGGATTTTGCTTTCCCTTAAACATTGTTAATGCACTGAACCTAACAAGAAATCAAAGTCAAACCGCGAAAATTCCAAATTGAGCGTTAACAACTTTCAGACTTTTTCCTGAAAAAAAAAACAAAAAAAAATCAGCAAAACCTACATAATATTCCTCACTACGTTCATTACTTAGGCACTTTTGGAAAGTTGTGAGTAGTATTTATCAAAACTCGAATTTTTTGGCGCCTTCAGAACAATTTACTGGCCAATGAACAAAAACGGGTGACATAAAATAGTATCAAGAATGTAGTCAGGGGGTCGAACTCCTGAGGTGGAGTTGGGGGGATAGGGAGGTTGGCTTTTGCCTCTTCCCCCTTATGTCGATAGTGCCACAAGAGTAGCCTTTCAGCGTAGCCTAAACATCTTTTTTCCAAAATTTAGCCTGTTTCATTAGTTAGTAATCCTAAATTTTAACACAGGCAAAGCTTTGCTTCGCAAACACTAGCGAGAACTGGGAAAAAAAGCAGCTCATTAAAGCAATAAGAAAATTTAGAAATAAGCCTCGAATTAGTAACAAAAAAAAGGCTACGTCTCGGATCCCAACCTGCGACCTAGAGATTATGAGTCTCATACACTAACCACTCAGCCGAAAACGCTCGATAGGTTACAAATACTAGCCATAAATAAAGCAGAGAAGAGATGCTATGGAATTTCCACTGCTACAGTCAAAATTCCAAATAAGTGAGCACTTTTAATGAACTCTTTTATTTGCGAGATAGGTTAGAAAAAAGAAGGTTCGTAATAATACACTTTTCTCCCTGGAGTAGCCGGAAAAGTTATAAGCTATATTGACGCATTTTTCACGTCGCGGCAAATTCTTTAAGAATGGCATAACCTGGCTAAAAGACAGATTTAAAGTGTCAAGAACATACGAACACCGAACTTATTCAACGTTTTCAACTTTCGAATTTCAAAAAAAAAATTCAAACTACAAGTTTCGTACAAACATTTTTCATTTGCAAAAAAAAAAACATCCACCTGACAGTTGGAACAGAGTAAGGAACGCAAGGAAACAGAAAACATAGCCAATCGAAGATTGGGAAAGAGTGAACATAAAAAAACACTTTGTTGAAAAAATCTCATCTTTCGAATTTCAAAGGAAAATAGATACCCTTTAAGCTCTTTGTAATTCTAGAACAATTTATGATTGGCGCTTTTTTGATAACATTATTCCAACTTGAGAAAACTGGATCAACAGGTAAAGTTTTTATTCCGCTGGAAATCTAAAAATAAAATTCCACTTTCGAAACTAGAAGTAGTTTACGTTTTTTGCGCTATAACCACGTTCGTATTTGGAGAGTGCTATTTACGTCACTTTCAGCCGATGAATTTCGATTGAACTCAAAATATACCTGAGTGCATCAACATTTTAAGTCTTTTTCCTGAAAAACAAATCAGCAAGACTTATATAAGAGTCTTCACTACTATGTTCATTACTCTAAAAAACTGAAATGTTTTTTGTTAAAAACTTACAAATTTTAAAGAAAAAACATATATCACCTTAAAACTCTTTGCATTTTAAGAACAGTTTATGATTGAAGCTTTATTTGATAAAATTAACCCAAATTGAGAAATCTAAATTAAATTTCACTTTCGATACTGGAAGTCGTTCACGCTTTTTCGCAGATGAAAAAGTAATGAAATCAAAAAAGCTAATAATATATATCTCCTCCAACTCCTCCTACGATCAGAACATCTCCAGCTCCGCAATGGGCCATCGCACGCTCTAAGCACAACTCAGCAATCTAACAAACTAACAAGTTACCCTTTAAACTGGTAGGGCGACAATTCGTTACAAGCGACAATTCGTAACAAGGCATTGGAAAGCAGAATACACTTGCTCTGCTTCGCTCCGCTGCGCTTACATCCGGCACGAGAGGAATACTGCGTGTGAATCAGTGTTCCCCGCTTAATCTACTGTTACAAATTGTCGCCTCACGTTTTAACTAAAGATACGAAAAGCCTTCGTGCGAACAAAACTATTCTTACCACCTCAAAGCCGGTTTCAGGTGGAGGATGTACACTTGGTTCTGTTTCGCAATTTTAATCAACTAGTTAACCAGCCAGAGGCCTAACCTAGAGGATAATTAATTAAGATTAACTAAGCTATGGCTATTCTACAAGAGCTCACCTTACAAAAAACAGCCCACGTGCAATTTGAACCCTCAATCATATGATTGCTGGGCACCATCGCTACCCATTCGCCAAAAATTTTGTGGCGTTATGACGCGAAGGTAGTGATGGTTTCCAGCAACATGATTGCGGGTTCAAATCGCACGCTCGCTGCAAATAATAAGGTGAGCTCTCGTAAGATAACCATAAATTTGACCAGATTTGCAACAAAAAAACATAGCCAACTGACAGTTGGAAAAGAGTAATGAACGCAATGAAACTGAAACAAAACCTGACTTTTGAATTTCGAAAAAAATAGATGGAATTAAAGCTCTTTGAATTTGTAGAACAATTTATGATAGACGCTTATTTGTTAAAACTAACCCATTTGAAAAAATTGCATCAATAGGCGAAACTTTTATTTCACTGGGATATCTGATAATTAATTTCCTTTTTCGAAATTAGAAGTCGATCACATTATTCGTGACCTTTAGATTCATGCTATTCGATAGTGGATTTTGCTTTCCCTTAAACATTGTTAATGCACTGAACCTAACAAGAAATCAAAGTCAAACCGCGAAAATTCCAAATTGAGCGTTAACAACTTTCAGACTTTTTCCTGAAAAAAAAAACAAAAAAAAATAAGCAAAACCTACATAATATTCCTCACTACGTTCATTACTTAGGCACTTTTGGAAAGTTGTGAGTAGTATTTATCAAAACTCGAATTTTTTGGCGCCTTCAGAACAATTTACTGGCCAATGAACAAAAACGGGTGACATAAAATAGTATCAAGAATGTAGTCAGGGGGTCGAACTCCTGAGGTGGAGTTGGTGGGATAGGGAGGTTGGCTTTTGCCTCTTCCCCCTTATGTCGATAGTGCCACAAGAGTAGCCTTTCAGCGTAGCCTAAACATCTTTTTTCCAAAATTTAGCCTGTTTCATTAGTTAGTAATCCTAAATTTTAACACAGGCAAAGCTTTGCTTCGCAAACACTAGCGAGAACTGGGAAAAAAAGCAGCTCATTAAAGCAATAAGAAAAATTAGAAATAAGCCTCGAATTAGTAACAAAAAAAAGGCTACGTCTCGGATCCCAACCTGCGACCTAGAGATTATGAGTCTCATACACTAACCACTCAGCCGAAAACGCTCGATAGGTTACAAATACTAGCCATAAATAAAGCAGAGAAGAGATGCTATGGAATTTCCACTGCTACAGTCAAAATTCCAAATAAGTGAGCACTTTTAATGAACTCTTTTATTTGCGAGATAGGTTAGAAAAAAGAAGGTTCGTAATAATACACTTTTCTCCCTGGAGTAGCCGGAAAAGTTATAAGCTAAATTGACGCATTTTTCACGTCGCGGCAAATTCTTTAAGAATGGCATAACCTGGCTAAAAGACAGATTTAAAGTGTCAAGAACATACGAACACCGAACTTATTCAACGTTTTCAACTTTCGAATTTCAAAAAAAAATTCAAACTACAAGTTTCGTACAAACATTTTTCATTTGCAAAAAAAACATCCACCTGACAGTTGGAACAGAGTAAAGAAGGCAAGGAAACAGAAAACATAGCCAATCGAAGATTGGGAAAGAGTGAACATAAAAAAAACACTTTGTTGAAAAAATCTCATCTTTCGAATTTCAAAGGAAAATAGATACCCTTTAAGCTCTTCGTAATTCTAGAACAATTTATGATTGGCGCTTTTTTGATAACATTATTCCACTTTGAGAAAACTGGATCAACAGGTAAAGTTTTTATTCCGCTGGAAATCTAAAAATAAAATTCCACTTTCGAAACTAGAAGTAGTTTACGTTTTTTGCGCTAAAACCACGTTCGTATTTGGAGAGTGCTATTTACGTCACTTTCAGCCGATGAATTTCGATTGAACTCAAAATATACCTGAGTGCATCAACATTTTAAGTCTTTTTCCTGAAAAACAAATC